GTACTGAGTCTCTAACTATCTCCCTGGTTGGAAATATTTAATGCTTATTGTTACAAATTATCGCACATCTCACTTATTCCACAGAATGAACCCTGTAGCCTTATGTGGATTCCCCAGAATTTGCCCCCTGTGCTTTTTCAAAATCTTTGCTGATTTTGTTTTGTCTTTTGCTGTTGTAAATCACAGCCTTCAGTACAACCATGTGCTGAATCAAGAGAGTTCAGTTTATATGACAGGCCAAAACAGAAATATTACAAGACAATGAGGGTGACAAAGCAGAACTTAAGAAAAACAACACCCTATTAGATCCATGTCATTACAGGTGCAGAAACAATTTCATGGAAGTTAGAATATTTGGCCATGTTGTTAGTCACACCTAATTAGTCACAGAATAAGTTTTACAGCTTAAGAAACAAGTCAAAAGAGTTGCTCTGCTGAATTTTAATTTTTGCCCAATTTTATTTATCATATTAATATTGATGGTTACTTTATTGATGTGTGATTTCTGGGTTTTAAAATGTAGATGGGTAGACTCAAACTATCACTTTGTATACAAGCTAGGGCATCTGGCAGAAATATTTTCTGCTATCACTGTGGCAGTGATAGCTATGTTTAGCACCATTCAAAATGGAATATGATCTGCTCAATGAATTTTCTCCAGGAATAAGGATATGAACCTACAGCAACATAGTCTAAATCAGTGGCTCTTTTTCAAGCTGTCTTTTTAAAGATCACTTCCAAATAGTGGTTCTAATTCCAGTTCAATTAAATTAGAATCTCTGATGGGGGAACCCAAAGCACCTTTATTTTTCTCTTTTTAAGCTCCTCACATAATTTCAGTGTGTGGCAAGTTCATCAAGAATCACTAGTCTAATTAAAATATTTCTGTGTGCCAAAAATATTGTGTTTATTCCATACTAAGTGACTGTTTTCCACACCTGGTTATATTTAATTTATGTCTCTTGGTGGAAAATAATTAAAATGTAAATTTAGCAAAATGAAATTGTATTTATTAAGAGCTACAAATATGGAGAACCTGCTTAGATATTTATGTATGTAATACTAATGTTTATAAGCTGAAGATTTCAAATTTATCTTTCAGCTAAACCAAGCATCAATCATTATTCATCAAGAATCATTTAGTGAATCATTTGCATCCTACTCATAATCTGGATACAATTTTAAGAAAATGTTATACTAGAGAATATAGTCACTATTTATATCCATTGCACAGAAAAAGACTGTGTTTTGTAAAGTAGTGTCATGTACTACCATTGAAATTTAGGGTAGAGATATGAAAATTCATATTGAAGAAGATTGGAATTGTTTGCTTGTTTTTAATATCAAATTTGATTGGTCATTTTTTTACTTCTTGGAAAAAATATGTGATAACAAGACTATATTCAACACAATATGAGGGAATCTCATTCAGTTACCACAAATATGTATATATTTTAATTCAAGGGAAAACATTAATCAGAAATTCTTTCTTCACCTGGTTTCCCTAATCTGTTACACGTTACTTCTTTTTAAATTATATTATCTTTACTGCAGTAACAATGGTTTACAACATTGTATACAGTTTGGAGACAGTTTCACACCTTTTCAGATGTATGTTACCATACCACCACCCTCACCACCAAAGCACGCATGATCCTCCACACGAGTGCACTAGGCCTCCTTCTGTCTTCCACACTGCCTGCCTCCAACCCCTTTCCCTACAACCTTCTCCTCTAGTGGCTTCAGTTCTTTGGTCAGGTTTCTAGGGTTTGCTGTGTGGTAAAATTTTCCTGTTCCTTTGTTTTATTTCTCTATATTCCACGTATGAATGAGATTATCCAGTATTTCTTTCTTCTCCTGGCTTACTAAACTTGGCATAACCCTTTCCTGTTCTATCCATGTTATCACAAATGGCAAAATTTCATCTTTTTTTTTTTAATAGCTGAATAGTTGAGTGGAGATTTGAAATCAGTACTAGTAGCTTTCAGAATTTCATGACTGACATAGGAAATGATAGTGTTATTTTGAACCTTGATTGAGTAATCCAACCAGAAACCAAAACAATAACCCAAAGCAGTCTTATCCTTTCTGCTGTACAGCCAATCCTTAGTCATATCTTAGAGCAGTGATTTGCCTCAGAGTTAAGTCCAGCCCTTTTTTTTTTTTTAAAGATTTATTTATTTATTTGTGCATACAGAACTGGGGTACAGCCCAGAGGCTCAGGGGCAGTGAGAGGCTTCACCAGAGACAGAGAGGGGAGCAGAACAGGCAGATAGACGAAGTACACTGCTGAGGGGAGCAGCGGGCGGGTCAGGAGAGGTCTGGCTCGCCATGTGGTCTCCTCCGGGGCAGGCGGGAATCGAACTCATGTGGAAGTGGCTTCAGATTCTCAGTGCTGCGCTTTAACCCGCTGCGCCATCAGGGAGGGCCAAGTCCAGCCCTTTTATGTAAATAGTTTTATTGGAAATTAGCCTTGCTCATTCATTTACTTAATATCTCTGTCTACATTTAGGCTTCAAGAGCAGGTGTGACAAACCAACTAGTCTGCAAAACATTTGCAGAAAGTTTACCAACTCCTGTCTTAGACTATATTGGTCACATGTTCAAAGATTGAATTACAGATTATTGGCACTTCTAAATAGATCTCTTAAACTAAATTTGGTCTTTCACACACATCAAGTAAGTAATTGTAGATGATTCCTCTTTTTGCGCTGTCACGAGGAGTCTGTAGTTGAAGTAAAGGAATTTGCTTTGGCGTGGGGAATATGCAATTAGCACCCTCATCTTCCTACTGGAGGGGTCTAGGATCCTGTTCATTCACCTGCGGCTGCCCTTTCCTTGCCTAACTTGTCCTCCATGTTCTCTACATCACAATCCTTGCTGTTGCCTCCTCTGCTGGGGGTGGACATTGAATAGCCTGTAAAGGGGGGGAACCCAGACCTTGAAGCTCCTCCTCTGCAGCCTCTGAGGCTAAAGACCATTTTTCACACGTCTTGCTGATAATGGATCTGAACATGGGAGTTTGAAGATCAGGAGTGGTTTAACCTTTAACCCTGGCCTAAGCAGAAAGTTCAAGAAGGTATGGAAGTAGACTGGAGAGGGCATATCTCTAGTCTCTGGTGCAAAACAAGGGTAGATGGCTCTCCTCCCAGCAGTCAGGCACATCTCCACCTCAGGCACCTGAATGCTAATGACTGCTCTCACCCCCTGGCTGGGTTACTTGCAGGACTTGAACATATAATAGAAATTGAAGAATATAAACATTTTTAGATTTCAAAGAATGTATTCCCATTTGCTAGCAGGTAAAGTTTTAGGCCTTTGATTTTTAGTTACATTTATAGAAAGATATTTTATACAGAGCAAGGAAGTACACATGAATGAGATTGAATGGTACTCTTTAAACACAGGCAACCTGATCATCAGAGCTGCAAGTTTGCACTGGAAGTTACAATCTTAAGAAAAATACTGGGGTCATTTTTTTTTTTTGAAGGAGATTAGCGTAAACTTTTCACTAGTGAATGTCAAGTTATTTTTGTGCCTCCAGAAGACTTTTTTAAAATAAAGTATTTAAAGTATTTCAGACCAAAACATCAGAAATTATTTGAAATTGATTGTTTAGTTTATTCTGTTGGTGATTTAAGTCCATCTGCCCTAGTGACTCTTATGCTGGGCATAGTTATGTCTGACCTTATTGAATACATCTTTGGTGAGAGAGCTTTTCTTCTGCTTGTTGGTTTTTCTTCTTCCAGGGTGCTCAGAAATAATGCATTGTATTTGGGCATAGTTTTCTCGATTGTGACAGCTCCAAGTGCTTATGGTATTTAAAGGCCCTGGCTAAAGACTCCTGTCTTTTTGCTTTTCTAATGTAGTAAGGCAATGATAGAATTTGACTGAATTGCTTCCTATAATAAAGACACCAATATGTGCTGAAATAGTTCTTTTTGTGGTTTTGTAAATACTTTAAATCTCTACTTAGCTATGTTTATATATAATTTCTAAGTATACTCCCTTTCCCTTCACTAATTCTCATCTTTTCTTTTTGTATTAGGTCAGTGACTATCATCTGTTCTACAAGATGAGCAACAGCCACCCTCTTCGCCCCTTTACTGCAGTGGGGGAAATTGATCATGTGCACATTTTGTCTGAACATATCGGTGCCTTGTTAATTGGGGAAGAGTATGGCGATGTCACATTTGTTGTGGAAAAGAAACGATTTCCTGCCCACAGGGTAATTTTAGCAGCAAGGTGCCAATATTTTCGGTGAGTATATAATAGTTTTTGAAGATTCAAGTCACTTGTAGGAAATGCTGCTATTTTCTACCCTATGAAAATATGGATCCAAGCATAATGATACATTCTAGCAGTCTTTCAGTTCAACATCCATTAAGAATTTCATCTTTCTAGACTTTGTTATCTTTTGAAAAATGCCTTTTCCTTTAGGAATCATCTAAGAATTATAGGATTACAAGGCTTCCAGGTTAGGCAGTACTCAGTCAGTCAATTTTCAAGGCCTTAAGAATATTTATCAGGTTGTCTTTGTTACCTGTACTTTCTCTTCAGTCAATGACTAATTGAACTGAAGCCGATTTATTGGCAGATCATCTTCTAGTTGTATAGGTAGACCCAAAGCGAGACTTGCTAACGAAACTATGTGTGTCTCAATTTCACACTACTGAGGTCCTGGGTCTGTAGGTAACCCAACAGGTCTCTCTCTTAGACCTGCAGTTTGATAACTCCAAATTAAAGGAAGCTTAAGTATTTACTAAGTTGTCTAGCTACATTAGAAATAAAACCAAACAAAATATTTATGTATTTAATTATGTATAAAAATCCCATTTATATATAACTGTTGTTTGCTACTCAAACCCTAATATCCAGGTTATAAATATTAAACTGAATTCTAATTACTGTACACTTTAATATTAGTTAAGAGGTCATCATTACTAAGGTATTGACTAATAATTTATTCTTGATAGATCCATAGAATTCATATCAGTTGAGTCATAGATTTGCCCAGGAACCCATATATCTAAAAACAGAAGTGCCAATGACTGAGAAAATTTCAGTTACTTACTATTGAAAGCTACAGTTATATTTTTTGTACTCAGACTAACCAAGACAGCAAAACAATACCTAGATTCATAAGCATATTATAGTAAGTGTATCTCTAGGAAATAATTGCCTTTTTCTAGCCTTTTATAATCACCTTATAAACATTTGTGGAATGTCTCATAATCGCAACCATTTTGCATTGAAAATACCTCTGTCGATGAAACCAGGAGCTTACAAAAGAGAGAAGTCTATGAAAAATTCTAGCTAAACCTCTTCTGTTCCTCTTGTTAGTGGTCAGCTTTCCAAAGCATCAGACCTTGGTCTAATTTTTATTTGTTACTGGCCTCTGTCTTCTGTACAGTTCTCCTGAGGATTGGAGGTATAATACAGGTAGTAATTCAATAAAGAGTAGCAGAGAAATTCAAATTAATTACCTTCCTGGATTGTCTAGTTCTCATTTTTTAGATGAGCAGACAAGGAATAATAGGGGGATTTTTTTTTTAATCTGAAAAACACTGAAAGACCAAAAATGTCAAGTCAACCATAATTCCATTAACGGTACCATTTTTAGTTTATAAAGTGACAGATGAGAAAAAGTCTCCCCCCCCCCAGTCAACTAATCATATTTCCAGAGACAACTACTATTAATGGTTTAATATGAATTTCCCCTGATTTTTCTTGATTTAAGTAGACATAGCTATATATTACTTATATACGTACACATAAAAGTGTGTATATTATATACCCATAAAAGTATGTGTTTATTCACTTTTTTACCCCATGTAACACATAGGTGCTGTAACTTGACTTACTTGCTATCTCCTACACATCCTTCCTAGATGTATTGTTCTTCCTTGATCTTTCTAATGGCTGTGGAGAATGTGTGTGTCAGTGTCAGTTTTTTTCAAGAACATCCCTATCAATGGACCTTTTTTCCACCTAGTATTACCAAAATATTGATTCTCCCCCCCCCACTATTCCCAGTGTTTCATATATAGTCTTATATATTTATCTTTACTTGCTGTTTTATTTCTTTAGAGTTATAAATTAAAGTGAAATAACTGAGTTGAATAGTATTCTTATTTAGATTTGAATATATATTACTTAAATTACTTTCAAGAAAGGGGTGCTCATTTCTTCTCTGAAAGCAGGGCATGCGAGAACTTATTTTCCCATTGTTTTTGCAGCACTGACTATTAACAGGCTTTTTAATTTCTGTCATTCAAATAGGATAATGGCACCTGGTTGTGCTGAGTTTTTATCTGGTTATACCTTTTCCTGTAGAGTTCCTTTTGGGATGGCCTTGTTGATCTTTAACATCTTTATACTGATTTCACTGTTCTTCTCAAGAGAGTACTTTCTTCTTTCTATTTAGTTAATATCCATTACATGTCTTGGACCCTTAGGATATTTCATTAGTCCAGTTGTTTATAGAATGAACTCAAAATAATTTAAAAATCATTTTCTTTAAAGAACTATTTAAGGTGATTGTTCTGCATTTCATCACCTGAATCTCTGTCATTAGACAAATTGATATCTGTATAAAATAATGCCGATAACCATTATTTCCTAGTTTTGTAGCAAGTCCTATTTGAGGTTTCCCTTATGCATTTCTTTTCTGTCTTGCAGAGCATTACTGTATGGTGGAATGCGAGAATCTCAGCCGGAAGCAGAGATCCCCCTTGAAGACACCACGGCAGAAGCATTCACAATGCTACTTAAGTACATCTATACTGGGCGGGCAACACTGACAGATGAGAAGGAGGAGGTGCTGTTAGACTTTTTGAGCCTGGCTCATAAATATGGATTTCCAGAGCTGGAGGATTCTACCTCTGAATATCTCTGCACCATTCTTAACATTCAGAATGTCTGTATGACTTTTGATGTTGCCAGCCTCTACTCACTCCCCAAGTTAACTTGTATGTGCTGCCTGTTTATGGACAGAAATGCTCAGGAGGTTCTCTCAAGTGAAGGTTTCCTCTCCCTTTCTAAGGTGTGTCATAGTCTACAAGCAATTTCCATGCATGCATTGTCTTACTTATACCTGAACAGTAAAAATGTAGCAGTGGTTATGGAAGAAGTTGTCTGCCTACCGTCTGCCTCTTGCTGCTGGCACTCTAGGTCATATAGAGAGAGGCAGATTTCTTTTGTTTCCTTTTAAGGATGTTCTGGTAAGTTTTATATGCCCAAGAGACTGTGCTGCTGGCTGGTTTTTTCAAAGTGCTAGCAGTCAAATCATCTCCTTTGGGTGTTTCATACTCTGTTTTGGTTTTATATTTCTCTGGCAGAGAGTGCAACTAATGATTTCTTATTATGAGGGGAAATCTATAAAGGAGGTTTGATGAGCATTGGATATGTTTAAATCATCCCTCCCCACCCCACCAAGCTGGTTCAATGGTCACTCTTAGACAGTGAATATATATTGATACATATTTACAACATTATGTGCTATGTTACAGAGAAACTGCTTTGCTTACATCTTTCTCTGAACCCCAGAGAGTTTGGTTCTCTCCCTTTTTCTTTCTCTGTTCCTCCAAGGACTTAAATTTTTTTGAATATGAAAACCTTTTTGAAAAGCCATGTATCTTGGTTTGAGTGTAAACTGTGATTTTTATTATCCTGCAAGATTTTTAAGGGCAGGGATCTCTAGGGGTTCCTGAAGGTCATTCTGGTAACCTGAGAACCACAAATATGCTACTACAGTAATTGGAGTAAAGGATTTTGAATTTTAGAAACTGACTGTGTCTTGCAAACTTATAAATGTAAACTCTACTGAAGAACCTCTGTGTACTTACAACCTGCAATAACTTCTCACATTGCCATATTTCTTCTTTGTTTTATTAAAGATGGGTGTAGATAGGTTGGGAGGACTAGATATTTGATGTAGTGGTCCAAGATGCCAGGTAAGAACACAAAGTCCTACCATCCTTTCTTACTATTGACATAGCCATAATGGGCAGAAAAATATAGTACACAGAGAATAAGAAGTGAAGATGGTCAAAGAGTTAATTATTCAAAGATTAGTGATACTTTTGCTTATTGAACGCATGTTATTGAGTGCACATTCTGTTAACTGGACTTTGCCCTCTATCTTTTTCAGACAGCCCTTTTAAACATCGTATTAAGAGATTCATTTGCAGCTCCCGAAAAAGATATTTTCCTAGCCTTGTTGAACTGGTGTAAGCATAATTCCAAGGAGAATCATGCTGAAATCATGCAGGCTGTGCGCTTACCTCTGATGAGTCTCACCGAGCTTCTGAATGTTGTGAGGCCTTCGGGATTGTTGTCTCCTGATGCCATCCTGGATGCTATTAAGGTTCGATCAGAGAGCCGGGATATGGACTTAAATTATAGAGGCATGCTCAGTAAGTACTTCTTATCCTGATCTCACCAAGAACCTTTGTTTGTATCTTATTACAGTTAGTTACAAAATTATAGTACAGCTATATGTGGGGCTGTGAATATACAGCTGTTTCTTATGAAATACCTTCCTTTCATTCTCCTGTTAATTTCTTTTGAGGTTGTCTAGACTCTGTGTACCTCCCAAATATTTATTTCTTGCCATTTATGGAGAAATTTTTCTAGCTGCTCACTAGAAGATTGAAACTAGATCCTTTGCTATAAAACCTCTCATGTTAAGGCCTTTCCTTCTTTCCTCCATTTAATCAGTACTGAGTCCATGATATGTGTTTGCTATTATTTTGGTATTCTGAACATGGAGACTATAAATAATAATAGCTAACATTTAAGTAGCATTTCCAACCTTAGATGGTGATTTTTCTTATTAATTAAAATATCAGTTAACACTTATAATGCATTTATGTGTATCAGTGGGAGTCCTACATGATCTCACAACAAACCTTTGCCTTTTGAGGTAGGTACTGTTATTGGCTCCATTTCACAGGTAAGGAAACAGAAGTACAGAGAGGTTAAGTAAATAACCTAAGGTCACACAGAAAGTTGTGGTGCTGAGGAACTCGACTTTTATAGTTTGGCTCCAGAGATTGTGTAATTAAGTTATAACCCAAACTGGCTGAAAACTGTGTTAGTGTAAAATACAATCTGTTTTTGATATTTTCATTTCATTGTAGAAACAAGACTTACTTTCATGAAAAGTTAAGCACAGTACTCAAGATGGGTACATGCTGTGAACTTCAGAAGTTTGGGATAGTTGAGGGAAGATTTCATGGAGGTTATGAAGTTTGAGGTGAGCCTTGACATTTGATTTGAATGGCATCAGTTATAATGCGTTTTCTTGGGAGGACAGGTAAGGTTAATAGACAGATTAGAGCATTTGAAGAACTGAATAGAAGAGTTTGTGTAAAGTGGAATGCTTATATTAAAGAAAGTCTGCAATAGTCAGCTCAGTAAAATGGAGGTATTGGAAACTGGATTGGGATTACTCTACATGTATTGATTTTATGAGCCAGTTTTAGAGGAGGAATGGCATGAGTATGGTGGTGGTTTTGAAATGTCCATGTACAATACTTGATTTGGAGTAGAGAAAAACTAGATTTGGGGAGGCCAGTGAAGAGTGGTTTTGAAATGTCCATGTACAATACTTGATTTGGAGTAGAGAAAAACTAGATTTGGGGAGGCCAGTGAAGAGGGTATTTAACCAGTGCACAACTGATACAACTTAGACCAGAGGGACAGCAGGGCAAAGGGATAAAAATAAATGTATACAGAAGATACTAGGTTTTTTTGTTGTTGTTGTTTTGTGTTGTTTTCCTCAACAGTTTTTTTTTCTTCTCTCTCTTTTTAAATATATATAATAGTTTATTTTTACATCATTTTGAGCATTTTTCCATCTCATTTGCAATCCCCTTGGGCTTCCCATCACCAAATCACCCATGTGTCATCACCATAGTCCAGTGCATTTCCTTCCCCCGACTGTTTTGATCCCATTCCCCACTCCACTCCCACAAAATGTCTCTGGTATATAGCTATTCATCATTATCGTTATTTCTTGCTTGTTCCTGCTATGAGAGAAACCATCCAGTAGTTTTCCTTTTCTTTCTGGCTTATTTCACTAAGCATGATCTTTTCCAGCTACATCCATGTCGCTGCAAAAGGCATGGGTTTATTTTTTTGGTTGCTGAGTAATATTTCATTGTATATATGTACCGCATCTTTTTAATCCAGTCATCCACTTTTGGGCATTTGGGCTGTTTCCATGCCTTTCTAATTGTGAATAAAGCAGCAATAAACATGGGGGTGCAGGTATCTTTTTGAATCAGTGTTTTTGTGTCTTTGGGTAGATACTTAGGAGTGGGGTTGCTGGGTCATATGGAAGCTCCATGTTAAGCAGTTTGAGGAACTTCCAAACAGTTTTCCATAGTGGTTGTACTAGTTTGCATTCCCACCAGCAGTGCAGGAGAGTTCCTTTTTTTCTACATCCTCGCCAACATTTGTTGTTGCTAGTTGTTTGAAGATGTGCCATTCTCACTGTTGTGAGGTGGTATCTCATTGTGGTTTTAATTTGCATCTCCCTTATTACGAGTGATGTTGAACATTTTTGCATATGCTTGTTGGCCATCTGCATTTCCTCTTTGGGGAAGTGTCTTTTTCACTTTTCTGCCTATTTTTTGATGGGGTTGTTTATTTTTGTTTAGTTTCATCAGTTCTCCATATATTTTTGTGATCAACCCTTTATCACTAGTTTTGTGTAAGAAAAATTTTTTCCCAATCAGTGGGATGTCTGTTTTTGTAATGTCTCTTTTGCTGTATAGAAGCTCTTTAACTTGATGTAGTCCCATCTATTTATCCTTGCTTTCACTATCGTTGCATTGGGTGCTGTATCTTTAAAGATGTCGCTGAAGTGTATGTTGTGTAGTGTTTGGTCCATCTTTGCTTCCAGGTACTTTATGGTTTCCATTCTTATGTCTCAGTCTTTAATCCACTTTGAGTTGATTTTTGTGTATGGTGTGAGGAAGTGATCTAGTTTCATTTCTTTGCATGTAGCTTCCCAGTTTTCCCAGCACCATTTGCTGAACAAACTTTCTTTGTTCCATTGTATCTTCTTTGCTCCTTTGTCAAAGATTAGCTTTCCATAAGCTTGTGGGTTTATAGCTGGGTTTTCTATTCGAATCCACTGGTCTGTATGTCTGTTCTTGTTCCAGTACCATGCAGTTTTGAGTATTATGGCTTTGTAGTATAGCTTGAAGTTTGGGATTGTAATGCCTCCATTTTGATATTTCTTAGACATGAGGGTTTTGGCTATTCGAGGTCTTTTGTGATTTCTTTAAAGAATGCCATTGAGACTTATTGGGATGGCGTTAAATCTGTATATCACTTTTGCTAGGATGGCCATTTTGATGATGTTAATTCTCCTGATCCATGAGCAAGGGATATCTTTCCATTTCATGGTGTTTTCTTGAATTTCGTTTAAATAAAAGTGTTTTGTAATTTTCTTTGTAGAGGTCTTTTACCTCCTTTGTTAGGTTGACTCCCAGGTATTTGATTCTTTTTGTTTTAATTGAAAAGGGGATAGTTTTTTTAAATTTCTGTTTCTTCAGATTGGTTCTTTGTGTATAAGAAAACCTCTGATTTTTGTGTGTTGATTTTATATCCTGCTACCTTGCTAAACTGGTGGGTGGTCTTGATTAGTTTCTTTGTGGATGTTTTGAGGGTTTTCCATGTAGATTAACATATCGTCTGCAAATAAGGACAGTTTTATTTCTTCTTTCCTTATTTGGATTCCTTGTATGTCTATGTCTTTTTCCTGTCTTATTGCTCTGGCTAGAACTTACAATGTTATGTTGAAGAGCAATGGCTATTGTTTTGTTCCTTATCTCAAAGGAAAGCCTTTCAGCTTTTCTCCATTGAGGATAATATTGGCTGTGGGTTTGTCACATATGGCTTTTATCATGTTGAGGTGTGTTCCTTCTATTCCGAGGATTTTGAGGGCCTTAAACATAAATGGGTGCTGAACTTTGTTGAATGCCTTCTCTGCATTTATTTATATGATTATGTAGTTTTTATTTTTCTGTCAGTTGATGTGATGGATGACATTAATTGATTTTCTGATGTTGAACCATCCTTGTGCTCCTGGGATAAAGCCCACTTGCTTTATTGCATTGTTGGATTCTGTTGGCTATGATTTTGTTGAGGAGATTTGCATTGGGGAGATTGGTCTGAAGTTTTCTTTTTTTGTGTTTTCTTTGTTAGGTTTTGGTATTAGTGTGATGTTGGCTTCGTAGAACGTTTGTGGTAGTTTTCCTTCTTTTTCAGTTTTTTGGATGAGTCTGTGTAGAATAGGCACTAGTTCTTTTCTGCACAATCAGTAAAATTCATTTGTAAATCCATCTGGTCCTGGACTTTTCTTTTTGGGGAGGGTTTTGATTACTTCTTCAATTTCCTTGCTAATTGACGTCTATAGTTATTCTATTTCTTTTTTATCTAGCTTTGGGTGGTTGTAGAGTTGTAGGAATTTGTCCATTTATGCTAAATTGTCGAACTTGTTTGTATATAGTTGCTCATAGTATTCTCTGATTATTCTTTTGATTTCTGCTGGATCTGTTGTGATTCCTCTTTTGTTTATGTTTCTATTTATTTGTGCTTTCTCTTGTTTTTTCTTTGTGAGCCTTGCTAATGGCCTGTCTATCTTGTTTATTTTTTCGAAGAACCAACTTTTGGTTTCATTGATTTTTTTGGACTGTTTTTCTAACATCCATTTCATTTATTTATTATTTGACTTTTATTATTTCCTGTCTTCTACTGGCTTTTGGATTATTTTGTTGTTCTTTTTCCAGTTCTTTAAGGTGGAACACTAGGTTGTTTGTTTGAGTTATTTCTTGTTTCTTTATGTGAGCTTGTAATGCAATATAGTTTCCTCTTATAACTGCTTTTAATGTGTCCCATAAATTTTGGAGATTTGTGTCATCGTTGTCATTCTTCTCCAGGTATTTTTTGATTTCTTCTTTGATCTCCTCATATGGTCCTCCAGTAGTGTGGGTTTCAGTCTTCACATGGTAGGTGGGTTTCTTGTCTTCTTCATATGGTTTATTTCTAGTTTGATTCCTTCATGGTCAGAGAAAATAGTTGGTATGATTTTGACCTTAGTGTATCTATTGGTATTTATCTTGTGACCCAGTATGTGGTCAATGCTAGAGATGATCCATGTGGTTTTGAGAAAAATGTGTACTTAGATTTTTGGGGGTGCAGTATTCTATAGATGTCTGTTAGACCCATGTTGTCCAGGTCCTTGCTCAGAGCTTTAGTGTCTTTGCTTATTTTTTGTCTCATTGATCTGTCTATTGTGGAGAGTGGCGTGTTGAATTCTCCTACTATGTATGTATTCTCTCTGATATACATTTTCATAGATGACAGTAATTTCCTGATATATTTTGGTGCTCCTTCATTT